TCTGATATTCTCAATGTTGAAGGTGTAGTTGATCTGAGTGGCATCAAACCTTATTTCCTTCCCACGCACTATGGCTATATGTGACTGGGGATGGATATCAGCGTAGAACTCTCTGACTAACTCCAAAGCCTCACATTGTATGGGCTGAATGAGTGGTCTCCATTCTTTATCTCTAGCGGTCTCCCTCCAATCGTCAGGCACATCTCCTAGATTGAGGTCGAATCCCAATTCTGTCATAATCTTACAGGATTTCATTAATGAAGTTCGAGTGGCTAAATTCGCCGCGTTCCATTGCGTCTCGACCTCCTCTCCCTCAGACAAGTCTAGTTCGATTGTATCAACTGGCCTAGGTGCCACTACCTTCTTCTTAGCTTCAGCTGCTTTAGCTTTCGCAGCTCTTGTTTTAGGTTCATTCATGGGCACTGTCGGCTTCTTAGTCTGAACTGCACGACGTTTTAAACTCTTTTTCTCCCGCTTCTTGTATTGGAACATTTCCCTTAACGTCTGCGTGTCCTCGGGATCTTCTTCTTTGGTAGGTTCTTGAGTACTATTCTCCCCAACCTTGGATCTACCTGTATCACACCCAAGCGGGTTAACTGCATTAGAAGGAATAGCGTGAGCATCCCTTACCCCTGGTAGAGTGGCTATCGGTGTGACATACTCATCCGTTGCCAACGGAGTAGATCCAGTTGCCCCAGTAGGCAACGCTTGGTGACTAAAAAATGCTCCTTCTGTAGGTGTATCCAATGGGGAAGGTTCCTGAGTATCTTTTCTTACCACTTCGTTTTCGGTACCCTCCGTTTCCGGCATATTTGAACAATTGCCTCATGAAACCAGTAGAAAATCATCACTACCATCTCCAGGTGTAATAATCAACGGAGATGAATAAAACTGCTCCTCATCCCTATTCTCCATAGATGAACCCTTAGGCGTCAGACGCCTACTACTCCCATCTTCCTCAATTTCTGGGTCCGTCAGCACCTTCTTGCCCTTCCTCTTTTACCCTATCGAGACCTCGGGCTTTAGCCTCTGTCTATGGCTCTTCTCTTGCTCTCCTCCATGCTCAACTCCTGTATCCATTGGCATATTGGTTGGGATTGGCATCATAGGAGGCTCTAAGGGTTTTAGTTGTCCCATGTTGAAGGTACTCAATATGTTAGGGTTCAATTGGGGTGCTTGAGGTCCTCTTTCTAGGAATGGAAGTTGAGGTGGTGGGGGAACCCTAGGTGAAATCATCTCATAATTTTGTGGAGGTACCCACTTACCCATTCCATAATAAGGTGGAAGGCTAGGAAATAGAGTAGATGGGTTTGGCATTCCATAAGGATGAACACTAGCTGGAATTTGCATTTGGGACAAGGGAAAATGATAGGAAGGAACGGGGTTAAACATAAACGGTTGGTACATACCCGGATTGATCATTGGAGGAAGTTGTTGAGGATTTGCAGCCCTAAACTCACTGTTTTGAGGTATATTAAGGGTGGGTAGCTGCTGAAAATTTACATAACCATGTGGGCCCATCATAGGAGGTTGTGTAGGAGCTTGGGAAGGAGAAGTAGGGAGTGAAGTGTGTTGAGAAGAAAAAGCCATAGAAATAAACAAAGGTTGGAAATGTCTTCTTCTTCTTGGTTGTGGCTGAAAATCGAAAACAAGAGTGGTGAGGGAGTATTTTTTTTTTCGAAAAACAAAGGGGAGGAAGAGAGTTGTGTGGGTTTTTGTTGAGGTGTAAGGCTTAGGCAATGGGTCTATTTAAAGCTTTCCCCAAACTAAATCCTAAATGGAAAGAGATTGAGTTTTAAGTTCAAACTAGGTTTCCTAACCCTAAAAGGAGAAAATAAGTTTGAATTCCAAATAGGATTAGGGAAACAAAATTTGAAGTATTTTTTAGTTTAAGGAGAGATGTGAAACTTAAATCTCAAAGGATTAACGTTTGACCAAAAATAAAACCCATAAAATTCGAAAATGAAACCCAAACCACGAAGGAAAAAAGATTTTTCAAAATGCTGGAAAAAACAGGGCAGGCGCCAAGCGCCTGCGTGATTTTTTTTTTCGCAAAGGGCAGGCGCCAGGCCCCTGCGTAATTTTTTTTTTTTCAATGTTTTCAAGAACATTCTCTTAATAAGCAAAACTTTTTATGATTAAACAAAAAGAATGTAAGATACAAAAACTTCCTTCCTTTACTTTTGTTCTTTCAAAATGGATAAGAAGGAAAAACATTTTTCGCAAAAATTTATTGTCCTGAAAGTTGAATAGAGGTTTTTCCTCTATCCACTGGTTCTCCAAAATATGGCTTAAGTCTCTGCCCATTTACTTTAAAAATACTTCCCTTAGAGTTAACTAGATCCACTGCCCCATATGGGTAGACTTTAAAAATTTTAAAGGGACCAGACCATCTAGACTTAAGTTTCACAGGAAAAAGTTTCAACCTAGAATTGAATAACAGAACCAGATCACCTTCTTGAAGATTGTTCGGCCGAAGACGCCTATCATGCCACTGTTTAGTTTTTTCCTTAAACAGCTTAGGATTCTCATAAGAAAATTGCCTGTGTTCTTCTAATTCCAACAATTGTAACGTCCTCGCTTCACCTGCAGCCGACAAATCAAAATTTAATTTCTTAGTAGCCCAAAATGCTTTATATTCTAGCTCAATAGGCAAATGACATGCTTTTCCAAAGACTAGCCTATAGGGGGATATGTCGAGGGGAGTCTTAAATGTTGTCCTATATGCCCAAAGTGAATCATCAAGCTTAAAAGACCAATCCCTACGGTTAAGATTTACAGTTTTTTCTAAAATGTTTTTTATCTCCCTATTAGATATTTCAGCTAACCCATTCGACTAAGGATGATATGCTGTTGCAACCCTATGACGCACATTGTATTTAGCCAGCAAATTTTGCATAGACCTATTCACAAAATGAGCCCCCCCCATCGCTTATCAGACAACGCGAGGTTCCATAACCCGTAAAAATGTGCTTTTGCAGAAAACGAATGACAACTTT